TTATTTGGGTTCTCTTTCTTTTCTTTTCTTTTTTCTTTTTCTTTCTTTTTTTTTTTTGATGAGCCTGCTTAAAAGCTTGTTGATTTTGTTTATCTTTTCAAAAAACCAGCTCCTGGATTCCTTAATCCTTAGAATTGTGCCTTTAGACTCTATGTCATTTAATTCTGGTCTGATCTTGGTTATTTCCTGCCTCTACTTGCTCTTGACCATTTTTGTTGCTGTTCCTCAAGTTCTCGTAGGCATAGGGTTAGTTTGTTTGTTTGAAATATTTCTATTTGTTTTAGGTAGGCCTGTACTGCTATGAACTTTTCTCTCAGGACTTCCTTCTTTGTGTCTCATAAGTTTTGAGTTGTTATGAGTTCATTTTCATTTGTTTGCAGAAACTTTTTGATTTCTTCTCTAATTTTATTCTTGACCCATTGGTTGTTTAATAGCATGCTATTCAATCTCCATGATTTTTTATGTTTTCTGTTTTTTATCTTGTGATTGGTTTCTGTTTCAATCCCTTCTGATAAAAAAAAAATGCTCAGGATAATTTTAATTTTCCCGAATTTGTTGAGGCTTGTTTTGTGTACTATCATGTGGTCTACCTTTGAAAATGTCCCATGCACATTTGAAAAGAATGTTTATTTAGCTTCTTTGGGATGAAGGGCTTTATATATGTTAGTTACGTCCATTTCATCTATGACATGTTCAATTCCACAATATCTTTGTTATTATTTTGTTTGGAAGATCTGTCCATTTTTTACCGTGGGGTGTTAAAATCCCCAAGTATAATTGTGTTTCTGTCAATATCTTTCTTGAAATTTTCCAAGATTTTTAAAATATATTTGGGTGCTCCTATGTTGGGTGGATATGCCCAAAATAGGAGAGAAAGAAGGAGCTACTCTGTTGGGTGGATATATATTTATGATGTTAATGTCTTCTTGGTGGATTCTTCCCTTGAGTATTATGAAGTGACCTTCTCGGTCTTTTATTATGTCCCTTATTTTGAAGACTATTTTCTCTGATATGAGTATTGCTACTCTGGCTTATTTTTCCTGGCCGTTTGCTTGGAAAATTTGTTTCCAGCCCTTCACTTTTAGTCTGTGTAGGTATTTTGTCCTGAGGTGGGTCTCTTGTAGCCAGCAAATGTGTGGGTCATGCTTTCTTATTCATTCAGCTATTCTAAGTCTTTTGATTGGAGCATTTAATCCATTTACGTCTATGGTTATTATTGATAGGTAATTATCCATTGTCATTTTTATACCTATGTTTCTAATTGTCTCTTTCTTTTTCATCCTTTCCTTAAAGCAGACCTTTTAGTATTTGTTGCAGAGCTGGTTTGGTAGTGTATTCTTTTAAACTTCTTTTGTCTTGGAAGCTCTTTATTTGGCCTTCTATCTTGATTGAGAGCCTTGTTGGGTAAAGTAACCTTGGTTGGAGGCCTCTGCTTCTCATTACTTGGAATATTTCTTGCCATTCTTTTCTTGGTTGGAGCATTTCCATTGAGAAGACAGCAGCTAACCCAATCGGGGCTCCATTGTATGTTACTTCCTGTTTGTACCTTGCTGCCTGTAAGATTCTCTCTTTATCTTGAAACTTTGCCATTTAATGATGATGTGTATTGAAGTGGGTCTCTTTGGGTTCCTTTTGATTGGTACTGTCTTTGTTTCCTGGATTTTTGTAACCTTTTCTCTGATCAAATTAGAGAAGTTTTCCTTTATTACTTTTTCAAATAGATTTTGTATCTTTTGCTCTACTTCTTCTCCTTCTGGTGCCCCTATTATTCAGATCTTATTATGTTTCATATTGTCTTGCATTTCTCTTAATCCCTCTTCATTCTTTCTGAGCCTCTTTTTCTTTTCTTGCTTTTTTTGGGAGTTTTTATCTACTTTGTCCTCCAAATCTCTGATTTGTCACCAGTTTGTCAGCCCTGGCTGGTGTAGCTCAGTGGATTGAGCATGGGCATGAAAACCACACAATCATGGTTTGATTTCCAGTCAGGGTACATGTCTCGGTTGCAGGCCAGTTCCCAACAGGGGACTCATGAGAGGCAACCACAAATTTATACTTTGCTCTTTCTCTCCTTCTCTTTCTCTCTAAAGATTAATAAATAAAATATTTTTTAAAAAGAGTATTTCTCACTATGTGCATAAAATGTTAACAATTGAATTGTTTTGTCTTTTTACTCTCTTAAGATATTTTCATTTTTCTCAGTTACAAACAGAGCAGTGGACTTCCATGAGATCTCTATGTGAAGTTGGCTGTGATTTTTTCCAAAGCGGTAGGTCAAGTTTGGGGGCTAACTCAAGGTGTGCCTTTTACTGTATGTTTTAGAAAAGTCTTGTTGTCAAGGTAATTATACTTTCAAACAAAATTGTGCCTGATATGTTCCTTAATTCTGGGGAAATGTAAATTGTATAAAATTTGTTCTACCCAATGCCATGTGTGACTTACTTTTTGTGTCTTCCTATTGTGCCATTCTGAACTATGGCACATGTACCAGAAAACATGGCTTCATTAGTAAAAAGCGAGCTTGTCCTACTGGCCAAGATGGAGGAGTAGGTTGACATGTTTTACTTCCTTCCTTACACAAACAAAAAATAACAACCAATTCAGAACAACAAACACCAGATGTTCCCAAAGATGGAACTGTATGTGGTGTGACAACCAAGCAGTTAAAGAAGAAACATTCATCCAAACTAATAGGAGGGACCAATAAAGACAGTCAGTGTGGAGATGACTCACAGCAAGTTGGCAGCTGGCATACCAGGAGTGTGAAGCAGTGGCTGCAGGACTGGAGAAGCGAGGCAAAAGTTGGTGGACCTTATGGTTCTACACTTGCATGCAAATAAACCAGGAGAAAAACAAAGGAGTGAGACACCACAATCCAGGGTTAGAATGTGGAAAACTGAAGCCGCAAAACCTCTACCTTTGAAAACCTGTGAAACTTGCAACAACAAATGAACCTCTCAGTGTCACTGAAAATTCTATTGCAGGAATCCTAGAATTTACAAAAGACCACTCACTACGAAATTAGCACCAGAAAGGGCAACTTGCTTGAGGTAGTGAGAGAATTGCCTGAAAACAGGTTGAGAGATGAGCAAGCAGTATTATTTCTATTCTGACCCCTCCCGCACAAAATGCACCACAACACAGCAAAGTGGATTGCTCTGCCCTGGCAAGTACCTAAGGCTCCACACCTAGGAGTGCACCAGGTACAAAGAGACAGAGATATATGGCCCAAAAGAAAAGAACTCATGAACATTGCAGCAAAAGGTGACTGCATGGTATGGCTCATGGAATGAACTGCCAGCCTGTCAGGCAAAGAGTCTCTTGTTAAATTCCACATTAGGGCTCATGTGTGGGTGGCTGGCCAGTTCCCCAGTATGGGGCATGTTAGAGGCAATCACACATTGAATACATTGAAGTTTCTCTTACTCTCTTCCTCCCTTCCTCTCCACACTCTAAATATATATAAATATTTTTAACAATGAATTAAGCACCGAGGAGGTAGCCAATCACTCCATGCAAAGTTCAAAACACTGATAATCAGGGTGCTCATAGAAATGGCTGAGCAGAGCTACCAAATAATGTAAGAAGTGCAGGCTTTACAAAATAAAATACAGAAACATATAAGGGGACCAACAGGGAAGGAAAGAAACTAAGACTCAAGCCAAAAATTTGGACCAAGAGGAAGATATAAATATTCAACCAGGGCAGAATGAAGAAATGAGAATTAAAAAAAAATGGCTGAGTATTTCTGGGACAATCTGAAACCTTCAACCATTTTAATCATAGGGGTAGCAGGAGAAGAAGAGGAAGAGATGAAATGGAAAACTCATTTGAAAAATAATGAAGGAAAACCCATCGTGTCTGGTAAAGGAAATAGTTATGCAAGTAAAAAAAAATTCTCAGAGTTTCAAAGAAGTTGCTCCCAAGAAGGAACACACCAAGACACATCACAATTCCATTACCCAAGAAAAAAGTAGAAAGAGAATCTTAAACCCAACAACACAAAAGGAGAATGAAGTACAAAGTGGTTCCCATAAGACTAGGAGCTGATTTGTCAAAGAAATCTTGTAGGCAAGAAGGGGCTGAAACTAAGTATTCAAAGTCATGTAAGACAAGGACCTATATCCAACATTAATCTAATCAGCAAAGCTATCATTTAGAACAGAAGAACAAATCAAGTGCTTCCCAGATAAGGTCAAGTTAAAAGAGTTCATCATCACCAATCCCTTATATGAAATGTTCAAGTGAGTTAATCCAAGAAAAAGAAGATAATAAAAAAACAAATAATGAAATGACAAGAAACTCACAGCATTAACAACTGAACCTATAAGGCAAAACCAAAAGAAACAAAATAAGCAAACAACTAGAAGGGGAACAAATTGACCAAACAGGAGATCATATAGAGGGTCCATAGTGGGGTTGGGGAAAGGGACAAATCGGGGAGAAGGTACAGGGAAGAATAAGCATAAATGGTGGGTACAAACAAGGGGAATTTAAAATACTTTAAGAAGTGGAGAAGTCATGGAACTTATTTGTATGACCCATGGACATGAATGTAATCAGGCAATTACAGACCACGGGGGTTGCAGTGTGGAGGAGAAAGAGAAAAGAAAAAATGGGAGAGTTGTAACAGCATAATCAATGAAACATACTTAAACAAGGGAGCTTCTGAAAAATGTGGAAACACAGGCCTCACCCCCAAAAATCTTAAAATCTGCATTTTAACAAAACTTCGTTTTTTGTTACCACAATTAAATGTACACAACTTACTTACACTTTCAACTCACCATGAATTTTGTAGCTGAGAAATATACATAGTTGACTTTGAATGATACAAATACAAAACTCAACAACCCCTATGCTTGTGTCTCTTCCTTCATTTTAAAGTTTATTTTCCTCAAAAGTAGTGTCTTTGTGTTGGATTTGTGGACATGTATTATCCTCACTTGTCATTGTTACAAAATACATTAGAGAGCATTAAAGGGTCAAAGTGGCCTTACTGAATGATTCAGGTTCTCGCCCAGGTCAGAAGCACTTGTAATACTTCTCATGTTAGATGACACTGAGACATGTGCTGTTGTCTCCTTGAAAAATTTGCCCCTTTTGTTCCAGCCATCTTTGACCTTCAAGGACGTGTCAATAGATTTCTCTCAGGAAGAATGGGAATGCCTGGACCCAGCTCAGCAGAAACTGTACTCAGATGTGATGTTGGAGAATTACAGCAACCTGGTCTCCCTGGGTGAGCCCAAATTCCTTCACATTTCCTGCTCCATTCACTGCATTTTCTGTATATAGCATCTTTTGCAGACTTGACTCTGTATGGTACACTTTGAGATTCATGGTCACAAGGGAGAACTTGAAGGTTATCTCCTGTGGAAAATAGAGGTTTCAAGAACTATGGTTCTTAGTAAATCACTGAAAACTGTATGCATTGTTAGAACGATTCATCTGCATTACCAAACAAGATAATCTTGAATATTTTAATTTTCCTGTAGTTTATTTTACCAGAGCACACATGGTTTGGAAATTGGGGATCTTTAAAAAATAATAATATTTCCTTTGTACACAGGTCTTGTTGTTTCTAAGCCAGCCCTGGTCACATTTTTGGAGCAAATGGAGGGCTGGGATGTTTCCAAAAAATCTTCAATATCTGCCCCCCCAGGTAGGTGAGAATGCAGATGCAGATATCACAAATGAGTAACACAAAGGTCTCAGAGGAAGCCTGGCCTTCAAGTGTGTTTTGGGAAGCTGTACTTCAGTGGAGAGGCTTTTAAGAGCCCAGGAGTATTTCTGTTGCTGTCATAGAGGGACAGGTCACCTTCAACAGTATTTCAGGCTCCTGCATGCTTTCAAAATTCTGTTTTGACCCCAGTGACCTCTGTTATTCTACTAACATTTTTGGCTCTAGCCCTTGTTCTCTAAAAATATATACATACAAGCATTAAAAAAGTGTACAGTATATACAATTATGTTATTTTTGGACTGTGAGGACGACCATGATCTTGCTCCTCTTGCATTGATTTGGGGACTCAGAAAATCTTTGCATGTTGCTGAGATATTGTACGTCAAGCCTTTTTCTTTAAATTTTGTTTTTGTTCCCAGAATGGAATTCATAAAAGAAGAGGTCAGCATCCTGGAATTTTTCACCGAAAATTCAGAACCCTGGGGACAGGTGTCACGTTTTCTGACCTACAATTTTTAACCTTCCGGTGTTGCAAACAAATCCCTACTAAGTATAGACTCAGTGATATTCTTGTAGTGTAATGCAGCTCCCCAACATGAAAAAATCTGCTTTTCTGTTTCTCTTCCAAATGTCCTTGTGCTCGTGGAAATGTACCATAATTTCTTGATCCAGTCATTTACTGATGGGCACTTATCTACCTTTCAGGATTTGGCTATTGTGAATTGAGCTCTTATTAACATTGGGGTTCACAAATTCTTTTCAATTGGTGTGTCATTGTGCTTAGTGTAGAAGGGTCTCCTAACTTTTGGGACAGCATGGACAGATCTGGAGAGCATTTATGGTAATAAAATAAGCCAAGTGGTGAAAGACAAATACCATATCCTCTCACCTATAACAGGAAAGTAATCATCAAAACAAGCAAGCAAGAAAAATATAAATGGAAACATTGAAATAAAGAACAAACTGACAGTAACCAGAAGGGAGTGGGAGGGGGTAATGAGGAGTGAGAGGGCCAGAGTTTTCAGGAACATGTATAAAGATCACATGGACAAAATCTATTGGGGAGTGGAAATGGGAGGGACAGGGGAGGATTGGAGGTGGGCTGTGATTGGAGTAAAAGATAGAAAGCTGTAGTTGAACAACAATTAAATTTTAAAAAGACACATGAGAACAACTAAAAACAGTAGGATCCATGGAGGGAAGTGGGGATTGTTGTGTTGAGTGGAAGGGATGGGGAAATAAGGAGATAAACTGCATTTGAACAACCATAAAAAATGTAGAAAGCAAATGTTCTTTTGCTTTGGCTGTGCCCTGACTGGAAATAGAATGAGCAACCTTTGGTTTTCAGACCAGTGCTCCATTCACTGAGAAACACCAGCCAGGGCTAGTTTTTTGTAGATGCACTCTAGTTTTCAGATTTGACCTTGTTTTTTTGTGTCTTGTCTTAATATATTTGTTGAGTTTCAGAACTGTAAACAACTGTCCTTTATGAACTTGCTTTCTCCAGGTTAAGAGTAAAATACATAATATTCACCCTTAATTTAAGCTCTAATTTCTGTAAACCCAGGCGGTGTGTTTGTTTTTTAGTGTTTTTAAGTTGCCAGTTTTATGTAATGCTTTTTTTTCTTTTCAAAGCCCATGATATCTTTCTCTGCTTGATATTGATCTTCAGTCCACTGGCCTGTGTCATTTCAACTCTTACTCTTTCTGTTTAGAGTGCAGTGTAATGTGTTCACCATGTTCAGTCATGGCCTGAGCATTGTGTGTGCTGCAACACAGAAACACATATTTTGGAGATGCAGGAAAACAGTGAGATCATTGAATACACTGGACCCTCTATCTGTCTAGAAAACAATGAGAATGTAGAGTTTATTTTTTCCTATTTCCATTGTTTGCCAAGGGAGATGAACACTGTGGTTTACGAGAGCAAACAGCCATTATTCTCCTTCTTTGTGACATTTTATCATTGTACAACACTTCAACCTCCTGCAAGTATTTAAGTTTTTGAAGTACTCAACAATGTGATTAGTTTAAAAATTCCTTGTAAGGTCAATGTACATTCATCTGTGTGTCATACCTGTGAACTTTTCTTTTATATCTCTCAGCTGTGTCATCTGCAGACAACCAGTACTTTTTTGAAAATCCAGGAATAGAAGATCTATATTTTGAAGGAACACTGGTAAGATATTCGAGGTGTGCCTGTGATACTAATGAGGAAGTTTATGACAAGAAAAAAAGGATATTTCTATGGAGAAATTAACTTTAAAAATATTTCATGAAAACTTGTTTTTATCTAAAGATGTCAAAATACTACAAATTTGGGGGAATTTCTTGCTTCAATTAGGTACCTTTACAGACCACTGTATGTTCCTTAGGAATATGGAAAATAATATTCTAAGTGTATGTATTCTGCTAAAGGACAGGTGGCAAACACGACCACCAGGCTGAATGTGGCCCTCAACCTTCTTTTCTCTAACCAAGACCCTTGTTTCTACCTGGAGGCAGAGCCAAACTCCTTTCCCTTAGATAAGGAGTAGTAATATTTATGTGATCCTAAAAGTATTTACAGTGCACTGAAGGCAACTGTGAGGTTGATGTTGCCCATGGTGAAAATGAGTGTGACACTGCTGTTGTAGAGATGGTCTGGAAATTCTAGGATGTCTAACAATTAGTAGTGTGGGTAATCATTTGAATTGCTTAAAATGTGTAGTGTGAATAATTATTCAGTCAGTAATTTGGACAATGTAGTCATTTAGAATGCATTTAGGAAGCTTAAGTGTGATCAGTTTGACATTCCCTTACTTCAGTAAATATTGTATTTTTGTAGAAATAATGTTTTCTTTTATTCCACTGTATAATATTTTTTGAAGTTGAGTATGATTTCTAATACAACCAATGAGGTTTTATATGGGCCACAGAATGGCTATTTAGGAGTAAGTGGACATGTTTAATGAATTATAGATGATACTAATAAAACTTTCTGTGTTCAATGTTTACCAGAGTGTGTGTGATGAGGATAGAAGTAGTCAATGCAGTGAACATTGGAAGAATTTTACCCATGAGTCAAATCATAATGTCCAGCCAAAGAGTCAGCTTGCAGACAGCCACTATGAAAGTGGAAAAGTCTTTGACCAAATTTTAAATGACAATTCTCATCAGGTTTTACCTGTTGAAGAGAAGACAAACGAGCAAAGTAAAAATATCAAATGCTTAAAGCAATCATCAAATGGCATCGAAGAAATGAATATTGCTCTCAGAGAGAAAGTTTGCAAATATTTACCATGCAGGAAATTCTTCAATCAAATATCAAGTTTCAATACAGTTAACATCAGATGTCCCAGCAAAGAACATAGATGTGAAGACTGTGGTAAAAAAGGTCAGTCGTTTTCAGGTGGACCTCTACATAAAATAATGAATCCTGGACTAAAGCCAGAAATTTGTAAAGAATGTGGGAAAGCATTTTGGATTACCTCAACCCTTACCCATCATCACAAAATTCACACCAGACACAAGTTTAATGAGTGTGGAAAATATGCTAAAGCTTTTGGCCACTCCTCAAATGCTAATGATAATCATAAAATTCATACAGGAAAGACATTTTTCAAATGTAGTGAATGTGGCAATGCCTTTAGAGAGTCCTATAATCTTCCTGAGCATCACAGAACTCATACTGGTGAAAACTCTCCTATATGTAGAGAATGTTGCAAAGCATATATGAGGTCCTCAAACCTTACACAATCTCAGAAAATTCATATGGGGGTAAAGCCTTATGAATGCAGAAAATGTGGCAAAGCTTTTAGGTGGCCCTCAAAACTTACACAGCACTGGAGAATTCATGGGAAAATGAAGCCTTATATATGTACACAATGTGGCAAAGAATTTTTACAATTTTCAACCCTTAGATGCCATCAGAGAGTTCATACTGGTGAGAAGCCTTATGAATGTACACAATGTGGCAAAGCCTTTAACCAGATCTCAAACCTCACTCAACATCTGAAAATTCACACTGGAGAAAGACCTTATGAATGCACTCAATGTGGTAAAGCCTTTAGGCGCCGGTCAGATCTCACTCAACATCAGAAAATTCATACTGGAGAGAAGCCTTATGAATGTACTCAATGTGGCAAAGCATTTGCAAAATCCTCCAACCTTGTGTGCCATCAAAGAGTTCATACTGGTGAGAAGCCTTATGAATGTACACAATGTGGCAAAGCCTTTAACCAGATCTCAAACCTCACTCAACATCTGAAAATTCACACTGGAGAAAGACCTTATGAATGTACTCAATGTGACAAAACCTTTAGACACCAGTCAACACTCACTCGACATCAGAAAATTCACACTGGAGAAAAACCTTATGAATGTACTCAATGTGGCAAAGCCTTTAGGCACCGGTCAGATCTCACTCAACATCTGAAAATTCACACTGGAGAAAGACCTTATGAATGTACTCAATGTGACAAAACCTTTAGACACCAGTCAACACTCACTCAACATCAGAAAATTCACACTGGAGAAAAACCTTATGAATGTACTCAATGTGGCAAAGCCTTTAGGCACCGGTCAGATCTCACTCAACATCAGAAAATTCATACTGGAGAGAAGCCTTATGAATGTACAAAATGTGGCAAACCCTTTAACCAGATCTCAACCCTCACTCAACATCTGAAAATTCACACTGGAGAGAAGCCTTATGAATGTACTCAATGTGGCAAAGCCTTTAGACAGCGGTCAACACTAACTCGACATCAGAAAGTTCACACTGGAGAAAAGCCTTATGAATGTACTCAATGTGGCAAAGCCTTTAGGGACCTATCAACATTTACTCGGCATCAGAAAATTCACACTGGAGAAAAACCTTATGAATGTACTCAATGTGGCAAAGCCTTTAACCACATCTCAAACCTCACTCGACATCAGAAAATTCACACTGGAGGGAAGGCTTAGGAATATACTCAATGTGGCAAGACCTTTAGGGTCCTGTCAACACTTACTCAACATCAAAAATTCATACTGGAAGGAAGAATTATGAATGTACCCAATGAGGGAAATCCTTTAGACAGATCTTACACCTCACTCCTCATCTGAAAATTCACACTGGAGAGAAGGCTTATTAATGTTCTCAATGTGGCACTCTTTAGCTCAATCTCAACCCTTAATCAACATCAAAAATTTTATACTGAAGAGAAGGCTTATATATGTGAACTATTTGGTAAAGCTTTTTACCTGTATTGTAAACTTTCTCGGCATCAGAAAATTTATACATCAGAGCAAATTTGTAAGTGTTGACCATGTGGTAAATCATGTTTACAGCCCTGAAACCTTACTCAACATCAAATAATTCACGAGAAAGGAATGCCTTATACATGTATCTTATGTGGTATTGGATTAACTAGTCCTGAGTGCTTATTCATCATAAAATATACTTATACTGTGGTGAAGACTTTTAAAGGTGCATGATGGAATAAAGCCGTTAGCCACTTTGAACCCTTACTAAACTTCAGAGAATTCATACTGGAAGCAAGGTTTGTAAATGTGTGCTAGGTGACAAAATGTTTTGCCATCAGATTGTGAGTACTGGAGAGAAAGTGTACAAAAGTAGTGTACATAACACGTGTTTTTTTCATCAGAGGTGCCTTACCCAATAGGAGAGACATCCACATGGAAAAAATTGTTCAAATGTCAAAACTATGGCAATATTTTAACCTATATACAATTTTTGGACCATTATTCTTGTTACATATCAGAGAAAGTACAGGGAGGTGAAAATCTATATTCATAAAGAGGGAAAATTTTTTGTGAAATTACAGTGTTCCTATAACTCAAGAGAATTTATAGGTGAAAGTTTTTTGAAAGGTGTGAAAATTCAGGAAAGTATATAATGCAAAAGGCAGCTAAAATATCATAATTTAGAGTAGAGAGTTAATGATAGGTTTCAGGTTTTGCTCTAAAGCAGAATATTAGTACAGAGAACTGCACAAAGTTTAAAACCACCAATTGTTATTGTACAGTGTGCTTCAAGATGTCAAGAGGGTGGATTTCTAGTAACGTATAATTACTCAGAATATAAACTATAGTATATTGAGAGCATTTGAAATGTTTTGAGAAAGAAATATGAAACATTTTTTCTTGCATCAGTTGATACTACTATGTTTTTATTGCTGGCGTGAGTGAAATCACTGGTTTGATTGTTGGTTTCTTAACAACCTGTGAAGTCTTGTATAGTAGGGGAACATCACTCACAATTACAGTTGCATGGAAGACTGAGGGCACTATAATGCACGATGTATGAAAAAATCTAATAAAGTTGCTGTTTATAGCTTAACCAATTTTGTTGCATGTTACAAGGGACATCATGCTATTTTCCATGTTTTCTTTTTATTTTCCATGTTAATAAAAACAACTTTATGTCTTAACTTAAAATTTTAACTATGTTTCTATATTTCCCTTGAAGGAAAATGTCATTTGGTTAAAATTCTAATCTTTCTTCATCATAGTCATAGCTGAATATTAGTTATGTGGTTCAAATAAATAAGCCCTCAGTGATATGTGATGTAATAGGGTCAGTTCATCTCTCAGTGCATAACAGTGTTGTACATCCACATGTGCTCAACTGTTAGCCTCCTGTTAGAAACCAAAGAAAACTGCACTCTGGGATTGTAACAAGCAAGAACAGTAACACTCCCCAATGTTTGCAATGTCTGCTTTGAGAAATGGTAAGACAATTGTATTGTAATTCTTTATTTAGATAATGTGTGAATTGATTATTTTTATTAATAAAGGTGAATTTACTGGAATGTGTTTACATCTCCAACCTCACTGAAGTTTATAGATAACAATTTGTCATTCCATAATATAGTGCAGTTATGGCAGTAGCAGTTGATTTCCTTGCTTTCCTTAGACGTTAAATAATGTGAAAAATTCCCCATTATTGATATATTTCATTGTACCTAATGGAGCATTCCAATAATTACAATCAATGATATGTGGCTTTTGAAGAGTTCAGCTAAGCTACTTTATAATACTGCTGGCATTATTGATACAATTAATTTTGGTTAAGTAGGAGCCTTGAACTGCCAGTACCTTCTGCTGCAATTCCACACATACATAACATCTCACAGAGTCACAGTTAAATGTTCCTTCTTGACCTGACTTCCTGGCAGCTTCTTTGAGCAATAGTCTTCCTTCCACCTGAAGCTTTCACCACACATGGCCATTAGATAACATCTCTGCACACTTTACAAATATGTTGGTGTTTTGGTTTATTTTGAACAACTTAAAGTTAGCTCCAAAACCCCAAAGTCCTCTGCACATGACCCTGAATTTTATCAGGTGTCCTGGGATCTTCTGTAGTTTCCCAGCATCCAGCCACATCCTCACTGTAGCCACTGCAGGTCTGCTGTGTATGTCTCCCAGGATCTCTGGGGAATAAAGTTGTCTCTCTTAGTTTTACTTATTGTCTTTTACATAACTGCTGCTCACTATCTGATACCAAAATGCTCTTCTTCACAAATGGTAATTTACTTTTTTTACTATATTTAAAATTATTTATATTTAGAGAGAAGGGAAGGGGGGTAAGAGAGGAAAAGAAACATCAATATGTTGTTTCCTGCCATGTGGCCACACTGAGGACCTGACCCACAACCTAGGCATGTGCCTTGACTGGGCATCAAACTGGCCACCCTTTGGTTAGAAGCCCAGACTCCACCCACAGAGCTATACCAGGAGGGCAAATGCTACATTTTAAAAGTGGAGACAAATGTTCTTGAAGAACACTAAAATATTTCTTTTAGAGTGCAAACAAGCATGACTTAGGAGTTGTGGTTATTATTTCTTTGAACATTATTTCACTAAACTTTATTTTTTATAGGTTCACATTATCATGTAGTACATCTTAAACATTCTAAACTGTTACAAATTGCCATGTGACAAACATCAAAGACTTTAATTTGCATTAATTTTAGAACCTAAAGGTGGAGTAGTGACATCTAGTTGCTTACTGAATATTCATTATCTTCTTTGTTTACCAAAAATAGATAATTTCTTTCTTTCCTTTTTATTGTTGTTGAAGTACAATGGTCTGTATTTTCCCCCACCACTCTCCTCCACTGTAGCCATTCTCATCTTTCTGTCCTGATTCCACCCACACTTGGTTTTGTCCATGTATCCTTTATAGTTGTTCCTAAAAACCTTTCCCCACTCTCTCCCCATTATCCCCTTCCACTTTTCCTCTGGTTACTGTCACATTGTTCTTAATTTCAATGTCTCTAAGTACTCTTTTTACAATTAGGACAAGGTTTATAATCTTCATCACCTCCCTGTGTTTGCTTCCATTTATTGTGTAGAGCTGCTATGTTGCTTTCCCTTTGTAGAGTGGACTCCTGTAGTGAGTGCCCTATAGAATCCACTGGCACAGCCTCCCTGTTTACCCAAGCTGGGTGCTCCACTATGCCCTCCTTTCCATTGTGGGCAGTGTACACACTCCCATTGTAGTTTAGCCTTGAATTCTTTTGCACCTTAATGGGTTGTATTTACACCTGGGTCAGTCGACTACGAGGACTGCCAGCAACAACTGACCTTTCACCCCAAGTACTGTGGCACATCTACTGTTCTGGGGTCATTCCCTCCAAGCTAGACTTACTTCACTGTGACTCTGATTATGACTGAGGCTACTTCTTCTGTATGGTACTTAAGGACGTGTTTGCATGGTGCTATCTTGTGAGTGAAGTTCCCTTCCAGATGTCCTAGCTTTGGGATGTCCACCTGTGCTGCCACTTAACCTCTTTCTGGGTGACTTACTTTGAGATACAAAGAGATCTTCAGGTGGCTGCTAATTTAGATTGTCTTAGAGGTGCCCAGAACAAGCCAAGCTTTGTAAAATGGCCTGCTGCTCATGGCATCAGGCCGAGGGCCACACAGCAAGTGTTACAGTATATGTAAGAAGACTGATTCAGCCTTTTTGATAGATATTACAAATGTCTGAAGCATGATGCAAGACAAACCAGATGGTATGGAATAACCACTGCAAACACTCAGGTACACCTGTAGATTTGGTGGGGCAAGATATCAGAGAATCAGGAGAGCAGAGCTACTAGCTATAGGCAGGTGGTAGGAGACTCAGTTATGGTGCCCGTGCTACTGAGTCTCATATTAGTGGCGGACATGCTTTCGGAATAGAAGCAATTACCTCTGACAGCACATCTGTCTCATGAGAGCCCCTCTAGCTCTGACCATGTTGCCAGACCATTCATTTTCTCTCTGCATGTCCAATTGCTGTGATTCCAAAGCTCAGTGGCACTGAGTTTTTCTAATTCTGTGCAGATACCATTTAAGGGGAATACATGGGTCTCCAGGTACCTGCCATGTCCGTCCACAAATCCCTCACTGGTTTCTACAGCCAGAGGTTATAAAGACTTATCTTCCCACCACTGGCATGGGTGGTGGGCGATTAGTGTGTGAGGCTAGGACCTGTCATTTTTCAGTGGGCATTTCTACAGCCAAGTAATTTCTCCCAGTTTTTAAAAACCACATGGCTGAGAATTAGTGGCAGCAACAATTTTTATATTTTTGCCTTTTCTACCTATTTCCATGTAGCATTTTATTTGCTTATTTCTGATACTTCTATTCAGCTAGATTTCAGGTGGTTTATGAATGATGGTTGTTCTGTCACTTAGTTGTAATTTTGATGTGCTCATGGAGCCTTTGGGTATAGTATTTACCTTCTCTGGAATCCTGACCAGAACCCCTAGTCTTTCTTATATTAGATTACACATATGTAAATGATTATACATTCTTGCCTACCTCTACTTGAATTTTATTGAGCAGAGTGCTCTAAATAGTTCATTGATATTGATAAATAGGCAGCATTTTTTCTTGTATGGTTGTAAAATACATGTTCCATTCTAATGTCTTTATGTATAAAATATTATTGAAGTATTTATTGGTTA